AAAAAGAAAGTGTGTATACTTTAAAAGTTAAATGAGTTTAAAAAGTTATTAAAAATGTTTCTTTGATCGTTCTGTATTCTTAAATGCTTAAAGTTTAATATTCTTAGGTGTAATTCAAACAAAATTTAAATCGTTTTTTTCAAAAACCATATTGAATTGTTTGAGGACTCCAATTTAGTTTTAGAGGTAAAATAAATTTATCTAAGATCACAAAAAGCATAACTTTTCTCCAGTGCATACCTATTTGATCAATTTCATGTATGACAAGAGTATATTTCAATTTTATGCATCGGTTAGATTCATAAATAACCGAGAAGCCCATTCTTCTCATTTTTTCACATTTTGGTATCAAAGTTAATATCGGTACTTAAGATAACAAACATAAGTACAAGCTCTCCATGTTTTCTGCTCAGAAAATATAGGAGAAAATGTAATGTTTTTGTTTGTTTATTGTTTAACGTCCCTCTAGAGAATTTTTCACTCATGTGGAGACGCCACCACTTGCCGGTGGAGAGCTACAAATTTTGACCTATACTCGGCACTTACGGCCATTGAGCAGTGAGGGATCTTTTTCGTGCCAGCACCTACTGCGACACGGGACCTCGGTTTATACAGTTTCATCCGAAGGACCGGTCTCCACGTCCCACAGTGGGATTTGAACCCGCGACGTAAGGATCAACTCCTTACTCCGCGACTCTAGAGCGAACGCTCTTACCACTGCGCCACGCGGGCGACCGTAGAAAATGTAATGAATACAGATCTTGAGAATATTCATCTTTATTTTTATTGCAATGAGACAAAAAATTCAAATATGAACAATTATAAAATTTAAAATTGAAAATTTTTTTTAGATTACGTAACAATTCATTCAATACAACACAAATGATACTATTACGTGGGTCCTCATCAATCATAAGTGAACAGACCTTTGCTATAAAAAGATATATGACATAGGAGTGTAGAAAAAATTCAAACAGCTGATTATTCTGGTAAAAGCCGTCGACAATGAAATCTGACTTCTAAATTCTTGCAGAAAACTGTTGAAATGAAATTAACAGGGGGTCCTAAGGTGATCAGTGTGTACCTCATTGTACAAACCCTAACTCTTTTACAGGCATGCTACTCTCAGTGCTTCGATCCCAAAACTTTAATTGTTAGCAATTATGAAAATTCGTCAGTACCTGGTTTTAACCTTTTGACCAATGCTGAAATGGTAATGTGCATGATGGTTTGTAACAAGTTTGAATTGTGCCGCTCAGTGGATTGGATACGCGAAAAAAAGATATGCCGGCTAAACACGAGATTTGCCATCAAAAAAGTCAGTAGTCTCATGACCGGAGGCCGCATCATTCATGTTGACCGGGAAAGTTTTCCAAAGGTAAGCAATGTATCAGACATTAGAAAACAAACATTGAAGTATTTAGATTAAAAGCAATTCGATCAAATATTAAATGAGTTACCACTCTAAGTTGAATGACTTTCAGCACCTGACGGCCGATTGTCCCAAGCATACCTGTACCGAGGATGCAATTTGTCTTCGGGGTAACTGTGTGCCTGTTTTGAAAGGTAACATCTAAGATGTTTAGCACATTTCTGTAGGTGATGATTGCAACCCTAACCCTTACCTTAGGTAGAATTCAAATCAGATTTTTTCATCGTTCGATTCGCGTTAACGACGCCGCGTCAAACTTAAGATTTTTAACATAGGTAGTGCTATTCCTTCCCCAAGTGCCCGGTACGTGAGGTGAATGTCCGGGATCCTTGGATTAAACCTTAAAATCCGAGTTCTCTTTCACGGAAGGCGTTGATGCGAAGCAATTCCTTCACTGCTACGGCCGAAAGAAAATTCCATCGGACAAAATTTGTGGTACTTCATCTGCTTTGCCATCTAGATGAGTGAACAGTTCTCAAATGAGACGTTTAAACATTCAATTAATCTATTTTATGATGTCTTGTTTAATACAAATCTGTCTGTGTGTTAATAACGATTACTGGACATAATTTTCTTCCTTATTATATTTTGTTGGCAAATTAATAAGACAGCGACTAATTATTTTACCTTCATATTTCTATAAACATGATTATCACTTAAACAATTAAAACATTCAAATTTAAATCAATAAAGATAGAAAACAAAATAATAATCGGAAAGAATTTATCCTTTTTTCATCTTTTACGAAACATCTTACATATGAAAAGGTTTTGTGATAATGAAACACCCAAAAACACGCACCTGATGTAATTCATTTTTAACTATATCCCTAAAATTAACAAACATTAAATTTCAAAAATTTCAAATAGTGGTTCTGCAAAATTTTGTAAAATCAACCTAAAATAATTGAAATGTATTTAATTACATTCTAATTTATAATTAAATTACATTTGTAAAAAAATAATTATACAAGTTACTTTGATTGCAAATAATTGACACAACTATTAATCTAGTTGAAAGTATTTTATTACATTTTCAAAGTAATTGACCCCAACCTTGTTACTAGCTGTATTAGTGACTGTTTGTCTGCTACTAGCTTACTAGTATTTTCTTTGTAATTTTTTAGTCTTAATGCTATAAAATTGTCTTTAACGAAACACGGCTCGCCAGTCAGTCTGTTATTAAAATCTTTTTCCTTCGTCGAATCGCTCCGTGATCGGGAGGTTCGTGAGTTCGAATCTCGGCCGCAACTAACCTAAGTCGATAAAAAAATGGGTAGCAACTGTTCCTTCGCCATGCGCTCGGCACTTTGAAGTGAAAGTTGCAGGTCTTTCGGATGAGACCTTAAAAACTGAGGCCCCGGGTCACGGCAGACGTTGGCACGATAAAGATCCCTCACTGCTCTATGACCCTGAGTGCCGAGTAAAGGTCAAAATTTGAAGCCCTATACCGTTATATGGTGACGTCTATATATGAGTGAAAAATTCTCGAATGGGACGTAAAATAACATACAATCAATCAATCAATCCTTCGTCGAAAAATCTTAGAAGATTTAGAGCTAAGATGATAATGTGTTTATTTGTGTTAGAGAATGCAAGTTCTTGTTTACATATGTTTTTTGAGATTTTCCATTTCGTTTTTATTAATTTTTCATCTATCAAATTAATCAAGATAAATTAGTTCAGTAGACAATTAATTTACTTAATTGGTTATGCAGTGAAAAAACATATAAACAATGAAATACTCGGTTTATAAAGGAATTGTAACCACAATGCAGAAAAATACAGTGTATTTTTCTGCGAACACTGATGAATGCAATCATTTTCCTATACACACAAGGTTTACATTTTCCTGATTCATATTTGTATTTGTATTAATTATTCACATAAAATGAATGAAAGTGCCTGATAATGAATACCAATTCATTTATCTAATATGTCTTCTATTTTCCTTGATTATTTGTGATCTAAATGCGATAAAAAATGTCCCTAACAAAGTATCTATTTTCAGCCAATCTGTAATTAAAATTGATTTTGTTTTGTAGGATAAACCTTATACATTTATACAAACTTATTTATTTTTATCTGTATAAATTATTTACATAAAATGGATGAAAGTGCCTTACAATGAATTTCCTTTTGATTGAATGAAAAAATTTACCCTTGGAAACTTGCTTTTAAATATTTTTTACATATTATTTTAACAACCGAACATTACTTATTTAGAAGTCATTATATTTATTGATTGGTAAACAATAATAGTTTTAGGAGCTAAATATCCATAGGAAATGAACTCTAAGATTAAACATCAGTTATAACAATTCTCTCGCTCCTGACCTGACTTACCACTGCGTTCTCTTAAATAAAAGTTCTTTAGTACTTTTAGAAAATTTAAAATCACCTAATTTTTAAAATTCTATAGTCGCCCGCGTGGCGCAGTGGTTAGAGCGTCTGCTCTAGAGTCGCGAAGTAAGGAGTTGATCCTTACGTCGCGGGTTCGAATCCCACTGTGGGACGTGGAGACCGGTCCTTCGGATGAGCCCGTATAAACCGAGGTCCCGTGTCGTAGTAGGTGCTGGCACGAAAAAGATCCCTCACTGCTCAATGGCCGTAAGTGCCGAGTATAGGACAAAATTTGCAGCTCTCCACCGGCAAGTGGTGGCGTCTCCATATGAGTGAAAAATTCTCGAGAGGGACGTTAAACAACAAACAAACAAACAAACAAACGAATTCTTTAACATCAAAACGACTTTTTTTCATATGGCGACCCGATTTATCCTGATAAATTTGAAAAAAAAACACTGTCTGTTCCATCTGTTTCATTTTGGACGTTTTAATGACTATAGACAACAAGACCAACTAAGAAATGTATTACAAACGAGGTCAATTCAGCTTGTCCATCGCCAACATTTCTTATTTATGTAGAAATATTCTGCTCGACTTACATATATTGTTCATGTTTCCCAACTTATTTGCTACCAGAGAGCATGCTCTGGGTACGATCAATTTTTAATCCGAGACAGACTACTCACACGTAAGTTGATGTAACATCTATTCAACAACAATTAAACTATGCATTTTGTAAATTCTATGGTCGTTATTATGACCTTAATAGCAAGAATAACTTACAACTGGGTCGTATTTTGGCTGAATTGTTTCATACCAATTGTTAGACATTTGTTTTTACTAAATTTGGCATCTTGATCAAGGCATAGGGCTCACGGCGGGTGTATCTAGTCAACGGGGGATGCTTACTCCTCCTAGGCACCTAATCCCACCTTTGAAATTTGCAGGGGCTTGTGTTTATGCCCTGTTCACAGAATAGTATTGATTGTAGTGTTTATGAGATCGTTCACTGTTTGTTATGATCTTAACATTTTTAATTAATCAAATCAGGGTTTTCTTTAATTTCTTTTCCTTTTAAAATTTTAAAACTGATTAATAAATACAGTGTATGTATGATTATAATACACTTCTCATCAGGACGTTCCAAAATGTATCTTTATAACCTTTGTTAATTTTAAAGCATTTATACTGATTATTGATTTTTTTCACACTGAATAGAAAAAATGTATAAAGACTGTTCAGATATTGTGAAAAGAGATCCAAGCAAGAAAGGACAAGATGGAGTTTATGTAATTTACGCTGACATCCGAAGAGAGGTCTACTGTGACATGACGACAGATGGGGGTGGGTGGACGGTGAGTAATGTTTTAGTTTTTGAAAGATTACCGAATGATCAATAAAATTTCCTTTTATTATCTATTTCAACTTTAACTGTAGAAAATCTAAGACAGTTGCAGATGTTAGAGTTTATCATGAAAACAAATTTAACAAAACTTTATCATGATGACAGTATGGCTGTGTGACGTGAACCTGTCCCTCAACATAAGCACCTACATGAATAAGGAATGGAAATCGAAACACCACCATTGTATTTGATTATATCATTAGCCAAACATTGAGGGACGAACCCTAACATAGCAGACTAACAGTAGACTTTAAATATGCAATTCTGGAATTTAAATGTGCTCACTGGCAGTGAGAAAAAGAAGAAACTAAACACAAAATTTTGATTTGGATTTGGATTCTTAACCCTTTTACAAAGACACAATTGTAGATGTTCAAACAATTCTACATTACTCAAATCTGTCCCATACCGCCTCTCTATCACAATATAGTACACATTGCCATATGTTTTCTATAGAAACTTTACAGGAGAATAGTGGTCGCTGTTTATTTTTACAAGAAGCAATAAAATGAAATATCTAGTGTTGTTTACAGGTCATTCAGAAACGACAGGATATTGACGTCGATTTTTACAGGACATGGATAGAGTATAAACACGGATTTGGGAATGTCACTAAAAACTATTGGATAGGTATGGTCCTATGTTTTTATTTTATATAACTTGATTAATTGGAATTTTCATATCAAAAGCAAAAATTATATGTTTTCATGTCCAGCTAACCTTACAATTTCAATATTGTCGACCAAGGCAAAGTTGATACGATATCCTGTTTACATTGTATTTTCTGTCGATATACTCGACATTGCAATATATCTACACTGCAGATTTGAAATATTATTTTCATCTCTGTTATTGCTGTGAGTACATTGTTAATATAATATTAATTTCACAACATTGCAATGTTATTTTTATTTTGAAATCTCAGCAATGCTGTTATAACATCAAATTAACACCAAATGTAATGCAAGTCCTATGTAAAGGTCTCTACACTTGTTTTGTTATAACTTGTATATCGTCTTATATTTTATTGTCTTATCAACAAATAAAGTGTTATGAATCCTTATTTATACACCTATTTTAAATTGTATTTAGATGTATTAACATAATTTAAGGCATCTTCTTTTATTTAATTGATTTTATTGATATAAGGTTTATAAACTTACAAAAAATACTGATTTTAAGATATCGATCAAACAAGATATTCAATCATATCAATATTGTAATGTCGATATGTAAAAATAAATATGTACTTATATCGATATAAATTTATGAATATTTCCGAGAAAGAAGTGGGGAAATATTGTTATTGAATGAACTTCGTGGGGTGGGAATTCTAATAAATCTTCACTTTACTCCGGATGCAGTGAAAGCTCCTGTACCATGTATTTGCTATCTTTTACGATTATAGGTTGATACAAATTCAAAAATATTTTGAAAAAGGGAGATGGAGAGACATCAACAATTAGATATAAGTATAGTCATAGCGGCTATTGTACCCACCACCACTTTTGAAGAGGGGGAGAGGCAAGAGTATCTTTGTGCCCCTTATGTATACTCCTTATTTTTAAACCTGTGTAGAGCAGAGATGCATCCCAAAAATAAAGAAGAATACTCAAAATATAATAATTATTTCCCTGTTTTTTTCTTCTCATAAATTTTATTTGGATCTGAAATAAAGCACTAATTATTTTACATTATTTTAAGTAATAAGATGTTACATCTAATGTGCTGATAGTTAATTTTTATGTTATATATATATATATATATATATATATATATATATATATATATATATATATATATATATATATATATATATATATATATATATATATATATATATATATATATAAAATTCAAAAGTAGTTAAAAGATGATGTCACACAATAATCATAAAAGAAAATGCACAGTTTTTTTTTCCAAATTTCATTAAACACAAGCGCTTTCTGGATTTAACAATCCATCTTCAGGTGTACAAACGTTGAACTGATTATTTTTGCTTGGAAACGTTAACTTTGACGTCATGACGTCATGAGTGTCTTTGCAGGGAAGGAATAAATCCATGACGTCATGGTATAACTTAAAATTTCGGGAAAATTGAATTGGACAATAAATCATGATTTTCTCAGTCTCAATAAACAAAGTATTTAAGAAATTAATTATACAAAAAAGACATGAACTTATCAAAATATTAATGTTTGTTCAGTTTTGGTTAAAATAGATTTATAAAGTAGTTCTCTTTCACTATTCTCATTATGGCTGAATCGTTCCTAAGTTTATAAAATGGAATAACTTTTACATTTATTTTAAAGAGAGTTTGATGACTTTTTTTATTTACTTATAAGAAGAAATATTAATTTTATTACATATACTAGTAGATTTCATTTCTTGTAATTTAGAATGATTTGATTATAATTAGTATTTGCTTCAATGGGGACAATCTAACTGATCACCTCCCTCTCACCCTCTTCTTCTCTAATATATTTTCTTTATAACCATACAACGAATATTTGATACTTTACACATGACACCGTAACATTATGCAAGTGCCGTCAATTAATCTATGATATGTGACGTTTCATTCCAATTCCCGCGCTCGCGAAGTTAGAGAACAATATTTTGCAAACTTTTGCCCTAGAAATACTAATATATTTATATCAATTTAACTATTATGCATATAGTTTTATTGTTTGTGTCGATCTTACCACTTCGATATCTTTAATTATCATGCTTAAATCAATATTTATCATATCGATATCTTTTAAAGTCGAAATAATCTTTAACCATAAAATCCATCATACAGAAAAGACGCTTTAAATTATATGAAATATCCTGAAACAATACTACATATAAATGAAAATAAGAAGTCAAACCAGATTATGGAAGCGTAAAGGTATCTACACGTGTTGTCTTATATTCTTGTACATTGTCTTACTTTTTATTGTCTTATCAACATGTAATCGAATTTAATGGAAATTGAGGAGGAAAAAATACAGTATATATAACAATTCTACCGTGACAAAAACACAACTTGAAAGCTCAGAATACATCATGAGTAGTATTAAAAATCTTTCACTATGAGGTATACTTTATCTTATGTTAAGGTAGTCCGATTCTCAGGTTCTGAAAATCAGCTTTTAAGTATTTGAAAATGCTTAAATAGTAACGAAAATTTACACATGGTATTTCTTTCAAGTTAATCATTATAGTTAATCAAATTATATGGGGAAAATTATTAAATCTCAAATATATTTTCAGGAAATGCGAATAAAAACACCAGCTATGCATTTTCTTATTGAAGATTGATCAATAAATATAATTTAGGATAGAGAAATATAGGTATCCAGGCATTTGGAGGAAATTGCATCTTTTTGTGCTGGTACAGTATTTAGTTCTTCTCTATACTTTAATTGTTATGTAATACATAGTGTAAAAGGCTTGTGCTATCATTGCTAGACGTCACATATCACGTCTAAAATAATACCATGCTAATAAGCACTGGTATATAATGCTAGACAAAAGAAAATTCGATTTCTGTATAAATGAATGCATTTTTTTTCTTTCATGGGGTACAAATGTCAGTATAAATAGTATTACGTCAAACTTCCAGTTTTAGAGCCTGGCATGTTTTTGGACTGTGGATTATGTCCTAAGTATGTATAACAAAATCATCTAATTTCTGGTTTGCTTGGTAAGTTAGAGTGATAAAAAGTAATATTAAACTTTCATTTAAATTTGTTATATCTGATTCGTCGAGAAATATTGCTTAAAAACACTATTACCCGCTGAATAAAAAAGCCACACCCTCCAGCTTAGCAACAGTCAACATTGCTTGACGACGGGTGATATTAAAAAAAAATATATATTGACTGCGCAGAATTTAAGCGCGCAAAGTTCACTGTAATATGTATTTGTATAGGACATTCAGTATAATATAATAAATATTGCATGTAGTTGAGTGTAACATTGAAAATTTTCACCCCTCGAAAACCATTGTCAACCGAGGAGCAATATTTATATATTCATATTCACACCTTTCCCCCGCGTTTTACACCTTTCCTTTACACAAGTTAAAATGTATTTTTAATACGGTATTTAGAAACATTCATAAAATCCATGATGTTCTATAACTGGTCTATACGATGACCACTTGCGTGTTGTAGATCTTGACGAGTTGGCTAAGAAGATATTTATTTTATTTATCAGCATAGAACATTTTTCTGGTAAAGGTTGTAATTGATTATATTTTGACGGTGTTATCTATCCCCCCTAAACGATCGCATTGTGTTACACAGTTAATGCATGAATGTGTTTTTTTTCCCGAGATTAAAATGTCAAGTTTGTTCACGGTAAAAAAAAAATCGTTTTTGAGGAAAAAAAAATCAAATGCTCTTGTTCTCTTTTGTCCCTTTAAAAGCAGTTTTAGATGTGTGAAAATGCTATTTTCTGATCGGACAAAAGAAAACAAAAAACGTCTATATGACGGATAGTTATACTAAATATCAGATATCGTTATTGACTACCATATATGGAAAACGTCCAGACTTGCTAAATGTGAACTTGTTTGTTTTTCTCGGATTTACTTCGCACTACATAGATAAAGTGTCTTATGACGTCACAATTGAATGTCATCCTCGTTCATTTGTATCTCAATCATTAGAAAAAGTGCGATGTGATCCTAAGCCATTTTTTTTTTACCAATTTGTGTCACAATGAAAAAATATCTTTATCCTTCTTCTAGTAAAGGCAGTCAAATTAGAGGATACTGATTCGAAAATTTGTTGATGAATTTTGTGATTTATAGAATTATGATCGCGGCATCTCTTTGATCTTTGCGATAACCATAGTAGAATTTCATATATAAGTAGACTAGAAAGAACGATAGTAATGTTATATCTGTATATTAATCAGAAAGCTATACATTTTTATATTTTTATTGTATTTGTTAAAAATGAAAAATCAAGAATATATATATATATACATATATATATATATATATATATATATATATATATATATATATATATATATATATATATATATATATATATATATATATATATATATATATATATATATATATATATATATATATATCAAAAAAAAATCACAACACCGAAATAAACTCTACCGGTTTCATTTTCAATCTTCAGGAGTTTGACAACATATTGCTTAGTTACACATAAAATTTATGTGTAACTAAGCAATATGTTGTCAAACTCCTAAAGATCGAAAATGAAACCGGTAGAGTTTATTTCGGTGTTGTCATTTTTTTTGATATATATATATATATATATATATATATATATATATATATATATATATATATATATATATATATATACATATATATATATATATATATATATATATAGGAAATGACGCAATCCACGCTTTAACAAAGAATAAAAATCAAGAACTCCGAATTGATCTCCAGAGCTATGATGGAGAACAGGTCTATGCTGTGTATACCACATTTTACATCGGAGATGAAGACAATAAATATACATTGACAGTATCTGGATACAACGGAACAGCGGGTGAGTAGTGGGATCCGGTTTGTATGTTGACAATATATGAAGGATAACTGCATAGAGTGCAGAGCATATACATGTATACGTACTGAAGTACATTGAGACAGAGGGTTTTTACACTTTTCATTTTTACGAATATATATTCAAGTTCCTGATCACATACTATGTTTTTTTTAAAAGCTTACTTAAATCCTTCCCAAGCCATGGGGCTCTTAGGCTCACATACCCAATTTCTGTAATTTCTGAGAGTCATTGACCTCTCTTGAGACACCATCGCAAGCAAACTCCCAGTGCAAGCCTTTACTTATTTTCAGGGGAAATTAAACAATTTAATGCATATAAGTATCGTATGCAAGGACACATTACAATACAAACAGTTGAATTTGAATCAGCAACCTTCTGAATGCTTGCCATACGCCTCTGGCCACAGAACCATGAAATCAGATATTTTTCATCATTATCTTTTATTTTCAAAAATTTAAGATGCCACAGGACACAAGGTACTGTGATATGTTTGCTCACAATTTAAAAGAATCAGGAATAATACCATGACGTTTTAAAAGCTCAAATTTACCTGAAACTACGTGAATGTAATAATTAACAGTCATTGTCGCAAACTAGTTTTTGTTCTTTACAACATATCCAATGTCCAGTTCTAGTTCAGTATAAGAGAGATTGAAATGTAAAGCAGTTTAAACTAACTGTATTTCTCAAGAACAGCAACATTTTCTTCTCACCATTTATAACAAGTAACTCGATCCTGCAATCATCTTAAGAAGCCCTCTCTCAATGATTCCGATACGAAGACGTTACTAGCCACGAAGAGTGACGGAAATACGAATAGGTGCTTAAAAGAAAGATTGGAACACTTCTAGTATACCGGTCCCTATAAATATGGTGCTAAAATAGGTGCCGCCGAAGGCGGTGTACAAAATCACGCGATCGACAAAATCGATAAAAAAGGCCACAAATCGCAAAATTGAGCCAAAAATCGTGTTCCTTGTGAAAAATTGGGTTAAAAAAAAGGTTTTTAAACAGTTTTTTAAATGAGAATTAAAAGGTTTTGTAAAATAACGTACTTATTTAGTAGATAAAACTCCATTTTGCGTTGTTAAGGAATGTGGTCACATGATCAGTTTTTGACGTAATCTCATAAATATTCATGACGTGCGTCACTTGTGTTTTGACGTAATGAAGACTGATGAAGAAGTAGCTGATAGGACTCAAAGTGAAATGCTGCTAAAATTGCGAGATTTTTGTGAGAAATGCAGGGATTTAACAAGTGATAACTAATTACTAGTAATTGGTTGATTGAATTGTACATCACCATTGATTTGAAAGAAAAATATTCTGAATATGGACATTAGGAGATTAGGATATCGACCTTAAGTAAACGGTAAGTCGCTTTTACCAATTACTTGCCAAAACTTAGCGCACAATATCGGGCATGTTTCAACATTAGACCAAGGCTAATTCATCCAAGTTTCGCAAAACTTTCCTGTTCTTCCGCTTCTTTGTAAGCAAAAATTGCATATGATGAATAAGCCCAAAGTGATATAGATGCGAGCATGGGTGAATATAAAACAGTTACAATATCCGAGCTATATAAACTCTAACCCTAATCCTTAGATCGCATACAATGCCATATTTAATTAACGGTTTGTTTAAGTTTTGCATGTTTCATGCTTTACTCCTATAAGATGGTATATCGGCAGGGTTCGACATTAGGCTGATTCATGCAAGTTTTTGGTCACAAAAGGCACTTGGCAGTGCCTTTTGTAAGCAAAAATTACATGAATTAGCCCAAAGTCAGGAAGATTTAAGAGTTAATTTATAAAACAGTTCCAATCTTAAAACAATATACCCTAACCCTAATCACTCGATCGAATGCGCTTTGTTGAAGCGAAGGGAAAATGGCAATTTGTTTACATTCTGCATAGCAACGGCAAGGGAAATAACTGCTCATGCGCAATCGCGTGATTCTGGGGACCGGCATACTAGAAACTTCCCGAAAGATTGTGGAACTGAGTTTCAAATTAACATATCCAATCATATTTTAGATATTTTTTCTTGCTGTCACGCTGAAATTATCATTTAAGTATTATCAACATCCTAAAAGAGATCAGAAGGTGACTCTTTACATTGTAACACATTTACCACTGAAGACCTGGACAATGATAACTACATTGGCGTTTACTTTGTTACGATAAATATCTTATACATGTAAATAATTAGTAAACATTGACGTTATCTGTACTCTTTTTCAGGTGACAGTTTGGCTTCTCACAATGGATATAAATTCAGCACAAAGGATCAGGATAACGACAGGTATGATGGTAACTGTGCTACAAAATGGCACGGAGCCTGGTGGTACGGCTGGTGTTACAGCTCAAACCTTAACGGAGAGTACGCCCAGTCTGCCTTGTCTGGTTGGAAATACGTGACATGGGAACACTGGAAGTATGATGGAGCGTTGAAAAAGACTGTGATGATGATTAGATACAAAAACTAGAGTTAACGTATAAACAATCCTGAAATAGTTATAATGAAATGATACTTAAGTTTTATTACAAGCAGCATCTCTATTTGATTAACTTCTTACTCAATATTAATTATTATTAAATGTTTTAAATAAGGTAAACTATACAACACATCTCTATTTACAGAGTAAAATCAATCTAGACATGTTTATATTTATTGTGACAAAAGATTTAAAAACAAGTTGCGTTAGTATTTCTTTATTATTATTCAATATCAATGAGTTAATTTCATGATTTTTCTGTTAAGTCTAAGTTGTAATTGCTGGAAATTTGGATTATCTCCCTTTACAAAATTTGTTTATTTCTCATATTTATATTTTGTGTCTGCTAAAATTATATGCCATTGTTAATAATACTTTTGAGAATTTCAAGCAAATTATTAAAGGTCACAAAAGTGACAACACACGACAAACTGTTTCACAGACTTTTTATTCATTGAAGGAGGATAAGATATGCTGTTCTAGTGATGAGAGGATTATGGAAAGAAATAAGCAATTTAATGGGTAACTGGGCTATCAAAATACTAATTGCATTAATATAAATGTTAATATTGATGTATGCATACAGTGTATAAAGTATCTTATATTTTCAGAATTCGTGACGATTTTGTCATGATCCTTTTCATAATTAATAAAAAAATTGCATCTAAATAAATTACCAAGATGTGTATAAATGACTGCCAATATACAGCTTTAGAGATATTGCATAGCCTTGTATAGCCTTTTCTTAACACTTTTAACTCTTCAAAACGCATCGTATATTCTTTCAAAATTAGTATTTAGAGAAACAGGAGAAGCTGAGAGCGATTTATATTTCATTTAATTGCAAAGCAACGATGATTTAGTGTGTTTTAATTTATAAATTATTTGCCTTTATAAAATGTGAAGATAACGAATAGAGATCATGCTCAATTATATGTGGTAGATATAAGATATCAAACAATAATCAATAAAAGGGTAAATAGAAGAATCATGCTCAATTAGCCCAACATTTTTTTAATTTTCTGTTTTACAGGATTTTTTTTACAAAAATTTTTGTCGGGGGTTGAAATAAAAATAAAAATAAAGTTGTTTTTGTTTTTTTTTTTTTTTTTTTTTACTAAAACAAGATATTTACTCGCTGATGTCCATTTATTTGTTATGTAATAAGCGAAATTCCATAAAACGAAGGAAATAATGTCTTTTATTACATTTTCAACAGTGAAATACTGTAACTTATTTACTGAATGAAAGTGATATTCTGACACAGTGTGAAAGGATATCAAAATGGTATTCTCACTGTGTGAGAATATCAGAAGTGCGGCAAAACTTATGTATTCCTTCACGAAGAGTGTTTTTTTTAAATCCCTGGCCTGTTATAAGATAGAGTTATTGAGCCATCCTGACAGAGACTAATAGTTACACTGCCAAACTTTTTCCAAATATGTCGTTAAAAATCCATGTTTACAACGTTTTTTTAATCTCGCAATCGTTTTGCTTTGACGTCTCAACCGATCGACTATGACGTCACAGACTATGACACTGTTACGAAAAGACAGAGGTAAAGGGAAAATCTAAGAAAATGTAATAAACTGAAAATTCAATGTTTTGTAGATGAATATGGAATTAATTTCACTCGTAAGATAGGATTTTTTTTAATATCTTTACTCGTTCGTCGCACTCGTGAAAATATCAAAACACCTGTCCCACTCGTGAAATAAATTCCATATTCATCTACAAAACATTGAATATCCTCTATGTATCAATTAAGCAGGTCTTTTTAAAGGTAATTTTTAATAGCAATATTTGTCATCAAACGAGTGAAAGTTGTGATTCGAATTTCCTCAGTCATGCCACTTTCTACAGTGTTCTGCTCTGTAATTACTTGAAAAAGAGAACATTTTTGTCTTAAAATTAAGTTTCAGAAAAATCTTCAAGATATATTTCAATGCAATGAAAAATTGTAAAAGATCATACGTACTAAAAATCTTTCAAAACAAGGGGATGACAGAACCTCAATTTCTAATGGCCCACAGCATGACATTTCATCAAGATTACTGTTTCGTCTTTTTCATTTAATCTTTCATTAATCTGAAATTTATACTTTTTCCTAACATATGACATTGACATGTTACTTTTTAAAATGACTATCTAAAATATATATTAAACCCTCAAATTCTGACATTTCGGCGCTATGCTGTGACTATCCACGTTTCGAATACAGGCTCACTAGTTCTGTCAACCATGATTGGATGAATATATTTACCTTAGCCAATGACAAATCGCGTTTTGAAAGGCTTGTGAAAAGTTTATTGATGTTTCTCTCATTTTTTCAGTGACTATGAATAAACTATCGACGGGAGAAATAAAAATTGAATGAGGGACTTTTATTTTTATTTCATTTTAGCCCAAATTAGGGTCAGCACTCCCGTTAAACAGGAAATAATAAAAAAAAATGTTGGCCTTATATATGGGCGCTCGTTCCGTTAGAGGAAGACCGTGAGTTCAAACCCCGGTGGCGAATGACCTTGGTTGGTAAAAATAGGTAGCAAGTGTTCCTTCACCAAGCGCTCGGCACAAAAAGAACCCTAACTGCTTAATGGCCCTGAGTGCCAAATAAAGGTCTGAATTTGAAGCCCTTCTCAGGTATATGAAGACGTCCCTATATGAGTGAAAAATTCTGGAACGGAAGTTACGCAAGGGTATGTTTTTATTACGATTTCTGTGATCAGATTTTGGAGCGATGAAGGCTTTTAAAATTAGTTGATGCCACATGGCTGTCATTAATCTTTTTTTTCTTTAATTCCATAGTTGTTAAAATGATTTTAAACTATGAAAAGAAGTCGCTTTTCGCCATCACTTCAATATGTAAATTTTATCAATTAAAATTATTCATTTCAGTTCAAAATTTGATTTGATATATCGAAATAAAAGTCATTAGAGAGTCTAACACATCTGTTACAAATGGGGAAGTTTTACTAATAAAAGACTGATGGCAAACTAACAATTGAACTTTATGATAAATATACAATCTGTCGAAAAGTCGAATATTCAGTTACGTCTTCATACAGATTGTAATGTCATTTTTTTCAAACTGAATTTTCTACAGATTTTTCCGTTTCACTGATCATGGAAAGGGCACACGACTCTTCTCATAATTTGTATTAGTTAAATGGAGAATGGAAACTTCGCAAGTAGGTTAAGGCTTCCCGTAGAATATCACAGTGCACTCTGTGCCTTCACTTCTCTGAACTACTAAAATATGACGTCCTAATGGAAAATGACGTCAAGTCACCGCCAACTTGAGCTGTTATGACGGGGAGAGTGTCATGAACTTTACACTTTATTTCAAACCGCGTGTAAAATGATAGATAGCTATTGCAAAATTAACGGGCCGTTAAAGGTTTTTAAGTCATATATGTCCGAACATTTTAAAAATACACCGCTTACCTACCCTTGATTGAAATTCAGCATGTTCAAAGTGCTTATGAAAAATATACTTTTGAAATGTACTCTGTTTTATACCCGGGGTTGGAGGTAGGATTCATTTTGTGTGTATAAAACAGTCTGGCGCAGGTGATTAATGAGGATTAATCTGAGAATTTTTATGGAAATCTGTAAGAGGAGGTTGTTCTCTAACTGAATCCTGCTTGGGAAAAATGTGTGCTGGCTTTGTTTTAATACAGATTACGATATTGTGTGGAAAATACCCTCAGATTTGTAGGTAAGTTGAATTTCTCACGAAATATTTTGTACCCATGTAATATGACTTTTCCCAAGCACATTTCGGGTACACAAGGATACGATGAGTTTATTTATATAACAATATGTTAATAATTATTGTGTTAATCAGCTGCGCGATTTATATGAAACACTTCAAAAAATTATAAATGACCGTCACGTGATTAAGAAAGTCATGTGACATAATAACAAATATTTTAATATATACCTGAGGAAACCCTCCATAAAAATTGGAAGTACTCAAGTTCAATACTTATAACTCAAAACCAAAACCGACCTCGCTATGACATATTATGTTTTGAGCGCATTTTATAGCTTCGGGAAGCCTTAACATAGCTGCATTTTCTTTATATTCACTTTCCATGAATCAAATAAATAGTCGGTATACTTCAGTTTTTCTAGTTTCAACTTATGCTATTTAGAAAGTAATATAGTGCCGTCACCTTCATATGGTGTTGATGTCTCCTTTTTAATTCGATCAAGTTCTACATATGAAAAATTTTCAAAAACGAGACAAGATAATGACTAATTAGTTTATGATACAAGAATATCAATTAAGTCGTTTATTTAAAAATTTCAATCCATCGTAAACCCGTAAACTCAAATGCTTATTGACTTTTGCAAAAGTTGTTCGTCCATAGATTCATACACATAGTAACATGTAGTCACTGTTGTGACCAATCGATATGTAATGCTTATACTCATTCAGGGCACTTGATTACACCTGTGATGTTTTCAGAGGCCTGTGTTTGTTCTGCTCACAATTTATATTGTTTTTATATTGGTCTTTTGAGCATGAATACTGCTTTTTTCTTCACATATAAAGATTTTGATTGCTTTTCTCACCTTTTTCACGTTTGCTTTGTTAGGTGCAAATGTGTAAGACGTATTTAATTTATCGTGGTGTTTAATGGAATTTTAAGGTATTTTTTGCTTATATTTCCTAGAAAAGAACTTGCTAGAACTGCACTGTAATGTAAAAAGAAAGGAGATTTTGTGCTTTTCATATTCTTACATATATTTATACTTACAATAGTATTTCTGTCGCAGGAGACCTCCCCCCCCCCCCCCGATTTAGTGATTTATTTACACAATATGCCAACGGTGCTATAACCGCTTTTATTATTGAAATCAACTCTAAGATAAAAAATCTACGTATATATTTGTATTTATGAATTCAATAACAGATACTAAGCACTTTTAATTGATATATTTCATTAAAATTATGTTCCAGGAAGTTTTTTCTTTCGAAT